TATAACATAAAGGATCGTCCAAAAGTAACTGAACAACTGAGTACTTACTGTATACTGAGGTAATTCATACGTAGGGCTCTTTATAACATAAAGGATCGTCCAAAAGTGACTGAACAACTGAGTACTTACTGTATACTGAGATGCTTTATACGTAGGGCTCTTTATAATATGAGGGATCGGCCAAAAGTAACTATACAACTTAGTACTTGCTGTATACTGAGGTACTTCATACGTAGGGCTCTTTATAACATGAGGGATCGTCCAAAAGTGACTGAACAACTGAGTACTTACTGTATACTGAGGTGGTTCATACGTAGGGCTCTTTATAACATGAGGGATCGTCCGAAAGTAACTATACAACTGGGTACTTACTGAAGTCTCCTTTTTTCAGGTTTGAATAAATTATTATAGACTAATAAGGTAACCATAAATTTTTATACTGGATGTTCCTGATTGTCAGCAAATATGTTGAACACTGTGCCCTAATGTTATTACTGGTACTGTTAATTGTGGCAGTAAGCATATTAAAGACCGTGCCCTAATGATATCACTATTACTGTTAATTGTGGCAGCAATCAGGTTGAACACTGTGCCCGAACATTATCACTGGTACTGTTAATTGTGGGGAGAAGCAGGTTGTAAAGTCTGCCATAATTTTATCACTGGTACTGTTAATTGTGGCAGGAAGCAGTTTGAGCACTGTATATATATACACACACACACAGACAGACAGACTTCAGTTACATCATTACTTTACAAACTTATATAGTTTGTTATAAGGATTAAGAGTTAGGCTTAACTAAGTTTCGTTTGTGTACATAAAGGTGAGGATTTTAGCTTTAAGTAATTTCAGATCTTGACGATTAGTCTTGAGTCTTTGAGGATATTGAATTTGAGTCAATATGTCGAGTAAATATAATTTTTTATTTTACCAAATGAAAAAGTTAGAAACCAAAATATATATATATTTTTCTTGTTTTTCTAAAGATAAATAATGAGCAAAATTATACTGAAATTTTGTTGTCAAATTAAGATAAAACAGTCAGAAGTTGCGGTTTGAGTTATTTAGTGGTCAGACATTAGTTTTAACGACGTTTATATTTTGCACATTACTCAGTCTGTAAACAATGAGGACGTTGCATATACGCTGCTATCTCCATCTAGTGAGTTAACTTGCAGGCTCTCGGATTGAAATTATTTTATTAGTAAACGTGAACAATTTTAACCATTTGCTGAAAACGTTGGAAGAAGAACACAAAGCAACAGTAAATGAAAGCAATGGAATCATAGAAGAAATGTATTAATAAACTATACAGAAAGAGACGTCACGATATTAAATTATCTCCTAAAACACAAAGTTTGGATTAAATAACGTATCCATAACTAATACAGTTTAAAATAATTTATATAATTTTGGTATGGTCGTGTTATAATTTTTTACCTCGGCGTGTTATTGGTGAACAATATTTTCCCCCCTCTATAAAGGGTATTTAATGCTGTTAATGAATGAAAATATTAATTTTTTAAAAGTTTTAATAGTAGGATAGGTGCTGCTACTGATAAACAATATTTTCACATTTTACAGAGTGTATAGTGTTGATCACGAAGAATAATCTTCACGTTATTAAAGATTAAATAGCATTGTTGACGAACAGTATTTTTCAAATTGTTAATGAGTTCTTAATGAACAATACCATCGTCAATAGGTGTCGTTATTATCGAATATTATTAATTTAATATATATATATATATATTTTTCTATTTTTAAATGATAAACGATGGATGGTGTTTTCACTCAATAATGTGGTGAGTAGTAATATCGAAATAATAAGTAAAATCCAATGATTAAACAACAATTTATTATCATTACTTTACATAATAAAAAACGTTACAGTAACATAATTTTACACCACAGATAGAACAAGAAAACAGAATGACTCAGTTTCACTTACGAAATTTATTATGTATTATGAAAATTTTAAGTCAATTTTGTATTAAATATACCAAATTTTATTCGTTAAAAAATTATCTATACACCCCAAACTTTTGGATACGTAAGAAAACACTAGTTTTTATCCACACACAAGGAGCTCGTGCCCCAAATCGACTTGGTGCTCTTGAAAAATCAGAATAGAAAACCGTGATTGATATCATAGTGAAATCTTTTAAACACCATGCGACTCCTCCGTTTGTTTTCATTTTTTTTTTCAAAAATACAACATTACTATTTGTGTGAATTTACAGTACAAATAATAAATATACTTAGTAAAATGTCAATCAATTTACACCTGATAAAAGCATCTTTCACGTATTGTAGAAAGTGACTTTGAAAAAATAATTACAAAACATTTAAAGCCATCACTTGTGCGATGTTGAAACCGTTCCAGATTTATACTTTCACACAACTAACGATAATGACAACGAAGTAGCTTTTATACTAAACCATTTTTAATGAAGTTTGACCGGCAAACAATTACACTGACTTCTTTCACTGACCAGGTACGTTGACCACACGAGAATTGAAATCAAGTTTTTATATATATATGAAAATATCAACAAGTTGAAGTACAGTTGAAATACGAATATCAATGAATTATAAATTGGACCTAGAATACTAGTACCCTTTGAACCCCAGGGGTTCGTCGAGGAGAGGGTGGTGGAATAATTATGTGTCGAAACGCGAACCATCTATGTTTTGAGCATGAGGTAAACCTCGTTAAAGTGGTAGCATAGTCCTTTTCCTTACAACATGGTGCTAATGTCTCGGCAAGAGTAAAATCATTCATAAATATTCATTGGTTTTGTTTTACCCTGAAGTCAAATGTAATGAAGGTATTTTAGAACCAGGACCACTCCTTACTCACGTCTGTTTCTCTGTCCTTTACGATACAGGTTCTTTGTCAACATAAGAATAGAAAATACTTAGAGGTTCCAGTTAAATATTAATAAAACACAGATGAGCAAATGAGGAAAGCTATTTGTTTGTTTTAGCCCCATAATGGGCTACCTCAACTCTCTATACTACGGGAATCGAACCCCAGATTTTAACGATGGCAGTCCAGGGACTTCCCGTTCTTCCAATGGGGACCTATTTTTTGGGCCCGGCATGGCCAGGTGGTTAGGGCGCTCGACTCGTAATCTACGGGTCGCGGG